GTTTATTGTGGCACTGTTCACAATAGCAAAGACTTGGAACCAACCCAAATGATCATCAATGATAGACTAGATAAAGAAAATGTGGCACATAAACACCATGGAGTACTATGCAGCCATGAAATGGATGAGTTCATGTCCTTTGCAGGGACATGGATGAAGGTGGAAGCCATCATTCTCAGCAAACTAATACAGGAACAGTAAATGAAACACCACATGTTCTCACTCATAAGTGGAAGTGGAACAATGAGAACGCATGGACACAAGGAGGGGAACATCACATACTAGGGCATGTCAGGGGGTGGGGGGATAGGGGAGGGATAGCAATAGGAGAAATACCTAATGTAGATGATGGGTTGATGGGTGCAGCAAACCACCATGGCACATGTATACCTATGTAACAAACCTGCATGTTCTGCAAATGTATCCCAGAACTTAAAGTATAATAAAAAAAGAATATACATATATAAAAAGTACAATTATTACACATCAATTATAAATCAAACTAAAAAGAGTGAAGATTTACATTCTGTTATAGAAAGTACTTCAAAATATAATAAATGAAAAATTAAAGGTATAAAATAGTAATTACCATGTTTAAAGACATATACATAGAAATGTTTTCATATAAAGGGTCAAATTTCAAATAAATTTCAAACAGTTTCAAATTATTTTGTACTTCTCAATATATATTCCAAATTTTCTATACTGGACACATTTTATAATCAGAAGATATAATTATACAAAAATATAACTTTTGGTGAAACACAGTGCAAATAAAATATGCCTAATCATCTTCATACTTAGGTGATTAAGCATAATGATTTGAAAATAACAAACACAATTGAAGAATAAAGGTTGAGTGAGGAAACCACTTGGAAACAGCAACTTTTAGTAACACTACTACGGAAAGTAACATCTTAATAACAATTTTTTACTTTTTATATTTGTGTCATGCAAAATTCAAAACTATAAATAATCTAGGAAAATTTATATTTAATGGGTTCCTGAAAATTCTTAGCTCTGTGTTACTTTAAGTGCTAAAATTTTGTAATGTACCATCGCATAATAAATAAGTCTATTTTTGTAGCAAAATAATGTAGGTACACTTGGTACAAGATGATTAAACGCTTCCTACTTCTGAGCTGAAGTAAAATGTACACTTGGATGCATTATTTTCTTTTTTTTTCTGATATATGTATATATATATATATATGTATATATATTTTTACTGCATTTTAGGTTTTTTACATGTGAAGAACATGCAAGATTGTTGCATAGGTACACACATGGCAGTGTGATTTGCTGCCTTCCTCCCCATCACCTATATCTGGCATTCCTCCCCATGCTATCTCTCCCCAACTCCCCACCCCCACTTGCCCTCCCCTATTTCCCCCCAACAGACCCCAGTGTGTGATGTTCCCCTCCTTGTGTCCATGTGTTCTCATCGTTCAACACCCGCCTATGAGTGAGAACATGTGGTGTTTGATTTTCTGTTCTTGTATCAGTTTGGATGCATTCTTCAAGTGTATTTTTCCACAAGTGAATATTAGCTTCATTGAAAATGTCTGAGAATATTTACTATAGCTCTCTAATAGCTATATGATAAAAATACATCGTAAGGACTAAATTATATAGCAATAAATAAACATCGTTTAGAGAATTTGGTGTGTTCTTCATCTCAAAGAAAGGTATATTCCTAAATGCTGTCTTTTAATACTAAAGCATTCCCCTTTTGACATTTTAAAAATATACTCTACAAAAAACACAAAATGTAAAATTTTAGGTAATGCGTAATTGTGTTGAAATATTATACTGCAGGTTATACATTCTGCTTCTTCAACTCATGTTGTTTTCTGAGTTCAGATGTTCAGAGTTTTCCAGATCTTGAGAACTCAGCTTTTCCATCTTATAGTTGAGTCAAGATCTGTCAGTCTTTCAGTTTTGCTGTCACCCTAGGTTTCAACAGACTCTTCTGTTTAATGTAAATCTCATTTCTGAATTAGAAAAGCATGTAACTTAAATTCTATCAATCACAAAGTTATAAATGAACCTGACTTTTTTCTTCATGGGTTCCACTTTCCAGTACTGTAACATTTCAAGAAAACCAAAGGAAATAAAGCACTGAAGGAAATAAATAGTCTTTGGGAGTTTGTTCAGTTTAGGTTGGAGTGTCCCTTTTAAAATGTGATTATCTTACTTTTAGAAAGATATTCTTTATTTTCCTTTGGCCTTGGTGACATTCTTTGCAGACCTTATTTTCTGAACATTCAAAGAGAAAGGGATCAGGAAATCTCATTTTAACATTAGCTCCTATCTTCTTCAACACCTTGATTTTGAAATATTTTGTTCAAATAAAATATAACTTTAAAAAGTCAGCACATGTTCAGTACTTTATGAAAATTTTTTTTTTCTAAACCATTTTTCTCCTTTCCTATCTTTGGCCCTCCTTTTGTCTCTCAGCTGTACCAGTCACCTCAAAATCCAGATCCTCCTTATTGAAAACCTCATCACTTTCAGGACTTTCATTCTGTAATCTGCAGGCACAATCCCACGTTTTCATACATGTGCTCGTGAACTCAAACATCTAATAAAGTGAAGATATATACCTTTTCCCAGAGCTTGCAATTCCTGGTAAACATCAGCTTCCATGTTATCACATCGCCCTGAAGCTTTTTAAGGGCAAATGAACTGGCATTGCCAGATAGCGTAGCACCTCCAGGCTTGGAACACTCCAGGTTGCAGAATGGGGCATTTGGATCCTTTGACTGTGTTGTCACTTTCTTTGCTCAGCTCAGGTTCCTTCCATTACCTTTTTAGTAGTCTCTGTCACTGCTGCTTAGGAATGTCTCTTGTTATATGAGTCTGCCACCTTAAACTAAAAAGATCCAAGATTTAGAATGACTAGGTGGATACTCAGAGCCCAACTCAGGAGAGGAATGAGCTCATTAACAAGGAGGTGGTCTGGACTGCAAAGGAAGACAAAGAGAGGGTGGGGGCGCGGTGTGGAGGAGGAGGTGGCCTATTCCTCTGGGCTGCGAGCAGCTGGCCTCAGCTTTGAATCACAGCAGCAAGAAACAGCACACCATAGGCAAGGTGTACAAGACCCATTGGGCACTTCTCACTACCTCCCCTTCCCCCTTAGCTCCCAGCGGGCTTATCCGTCTAACATCATTCATTGCATGAGCAAGTGTGATCAGTAAACATGCAGCCCAATACACGTGCCAGCCCAACGGATTTCCTGGCTCTGCCCACCTTCCTTAACATGTAGAGGTGGTTGAAGCATACACTACAGACTAATTGCATTTCCAGTATCCCATCCTTACTGATGGATAAACCTTTGGCTCTCTGCAACCCTACCCCATCCCTAGATTTAAAGTTAAAAAGAGCAGTAATAAAAGCTTATCAAGAGACAAACTGGGAAAAAATACACCAATCCACAAAAAGGGTATATCTGACTATAGTGTGCTTCTGAGTGATGTTTATCTTCTGCATTTCTGCTTCCATTTTGCAAATATTATATTATATCATGTGTTCCTTTAATATGGAAAACACAGAAAGGGAAGGTGCTAAATACTTCGGTAAGAGTTCTAAGATGCAAAAACCATATTGCATCACATGTAGAAGTTTTCAGGGTCCTGCTCTCTGTGATGTCTGGCAAGTACAGTATATATCCAATTTAAACACCTATGCAGCAGGAGCCAGGTACAGTATATTTATTATAGTCTTCATTTGGTTCTGGCATATAAGTAAATCTGCCATATCCATTCTTCATGGATGCAAAAATCTCAGAAATAAAACAGGCACTGGGAAAAAAAAATACTGTGGTATTGCTAAAAACAATTTGCTTCCTGATGTTGTGGAAATCATAAAAAATACCTAACTATCCAAACACATGTGGTTGGTTAAATACATAGGTTGTAATATTTTTACATTACAGAAATTGGGGGAGGGACTATTGTTAAGCAGACACAAAAGCAAGATGCTAAACTATATGTGGTGGGGTATGGAAGACTATTGTAGATCATTTTATGCCTAGAGAGCCAGAAATTCTAAAATCCTGTCTTCTTTGGCTGCAGTTTCCTGTGAGGTTTTCTTTTTTCTTTCTTCTTTTTTTTTATTGCATTTTAGGTTTTGGGGTACATGTGAAGAACATGCAAGATTGATGCATAGGTTCACACATGGCAGTGTGATTTGCTGTCTTTCTCCCCATGCTATCTCTCCCCAACTCCCCACCCCCTGCTGTCCCTCCCCTATTTCTCCCCCCCGCCCCCGCAATGGACCCCAGTGTGTGATGCTTCAAGGAAAACGTATGTGGACTGGGAAATGATAAATGTGAGATAAGATACCATTTTATTATTTGCTGTGCTTCTCCCTTTATATCAGGGCAAAGCTGCCTGGTAAACCGAGTTTAAGTGTGAGGGAACCTGCTCCTACTTATCACAAACCAATACCTTGGGATCTAATTACTCTGTGACAAGCTGCATGGTGGAGAAGAGATGAGAGCCTGATGTCACCTGTAAGAAAAAATTAGCCAATGTAGTGTGACCTCCTCCCATGTCAAGGTGAAGGATGCATCCCTAATTTATCTTATATATAAATGGCCTTCGTGAGTGAAGCATTTCAGCTTTCCTTCCCCTCTTCTCTCCAGTTCCCTCTCCCCTTTCCCCCCACCCCCCTATTCCTTCTGCTACACACCTTCCTTCCCTTTCCCTATCTCACCTCTTTCTTCTCCATCCCTCCATTATCCCTCCTCCCTTAACCATCCCGCCCTCTCCTCCCTTACCCTTCCTTTCCCTCCACGTCCTGTTCCTTCTCTTTGTCCCGTTGCTCTCCAAAACCTTGAATGAATGTCCTCTAACAGAAAAACCAAGATGTGGAAAATACATCAAAATGTTAATAATAGTTATCTTTTATTAAATTGTCCTTTTCCTTGTGACCCTCTACTTTTTTCTATGATAAGCTTCCCTCTTTTATAGTCAGAAGAAAAGGCTAGGTTTTTATAGTATAACACACTTTAATATTTATTTATTTTAGGTTGCAATAAAAGAACATGAAAAACAGTATCAAATGAAGTTACTATTTTCAGTGAAAGTAGAACACAATACAAAGAAAACATGGTATCTTTAGTTTACAATTACACAATATAAGGTGAATGAACTTTTTATAAATACTACATCATATTAACACTTCAGTAGTAAACAATAACATCATTATGATTAAATTTATAGGCCACTATATGTCACATACACAAGCGCTCAATTGAATCAAATGTGGTCTTGACATTCTTAAATGTATGCTAATCTTTTTCAAGCAGTCAAACTTCAAAATACACTGTTTTAGTTAGCGTAAGTACTGTATTTCTATAGCAAACTAATGAAGGCACAGCTAGTGCAAGCAGATTTAAACTTTAGTCTTCTGGGCTGGAAAAAAGAAAAAAATAAAACACTTGCATTGGTACTTCATAAACTTTTTTTTCAAGCAAATATTTGTTTCAGTTAACAATTCTGACAGTTTCATAGCTACAGTCTAACAGGAACATGACCAAAAGACATCACAAAAGTCAATACTCTGTAGCACCAAACTAACATGCTTTAGATAACTGACAACAGCTGACATATTTTGAAGAATATTATACTACCACAGTCTAGATAGCATAAACTGGCACTTAGACACTTTATAGGACAATTTTTCAAATACAGACTACCAAGAAACTACAAAAACATTACTATAAGAAATAATAGTATTCAGGTTACAGATTACGGTTTTACTTTTTTCAAGACTGTATGAATCTGCTACACTTCTTGAATTTTTAAGATTCTTGAAAAATCTTTCAGATTGACCTTTTTATTTTCTATACTTCCTGTTTCCGTAATCTTTGCCAACTCGATAGTAGGAACCGTATTCATTGACTTCTCCAGTATAGTAATAGATTGATTTCAGGATGACATTATCATGTAAAATCTGCCCAATTTCAAAGTCCTCATCAAGGATAGCATCTTCTTGTGGTTCCAGCTTTCCAATCATAGGAATCTCAGGAGGACTAAAGAAATTGAAGAATGATGAATTAGGAACCACTCTTGGCTGGATTTCTCCAGTAGCAGCTATGCGGCTCTGGATAGTTTTCACAGTAACATCTTTTCCTCTTCTCCAGTCTATCTTGCAGCCTTTGCAATCTTCAATTTCCCATCCCCAAGAAAAGAAGGGATCATGGTGATCTGGTTTTGACTTTATTATGTATGTCTTCACCAGCACCTCATTTCTGAAATATGGATTGGGTAGAAAATGAAATTCAAAGGTGTAACTTACAGGCTGGCCAGGTTTTGAGAACTTCAGGTTAACATCCGACAAGAACTTCAGAATGGGCTCATCATACTTCTGAATCATAGGCCCCAGCTTGTCAACATTCTTTAAAACAACCAGCCAATAGTCAGGAATGCCTTTAGGGTCTTCTATTTTAGGCTTTCCCCTCCTAGCTCTTTTAAGACTTAGTCTTTCCGGAAGCCTTTCCTCAGGAACTCTTTTATGAGCCTCTCTTACTCCAGCCCTGGGCTTAGCCTCTGTTGCTTTAGGCTGTTCTTTACCTTCTGCCTTTGCCTGGGGGGCTTCTTTGGGATCTTCTTTTACTTCAGGGATTGCCTCCATACCCTCTTCAGGATCTGCTTTTTCTTCAGCCTTTACCTCAGCAATTTCTTTAGGAACTTCCTTTTCTTCATCCTTTACCTCGGGAATTTCTTCAGAAACTTCCTTTTCTTCATCCTTTACCTCGGGAATTTCTTTAGGAACTTCCTTTTCCTCATCCTTTACGTCGGGAATTTCTTTAGGAACTTCCTTTTCCTCATCCTTTACCTCAGAAATTTCTTTAGGAACTTCCTTTTCTTCATCCTTTACCTCAGGAATTTCTTTAGGAACTTCCTTCTCTTCAGCCTTCACCTCCGGGTTTTCTTTAGGGTTTTCTTCTTCCTCACCCTCTAAGGGAGGCATTTCACTAGGGGTGTCATCCTGCACCTCCTCATCACTGCTGAACTCCTCATCCTCTGAATTCCATTCACATTCTTCTTCTGTAGGCTCGTATTCTGCATTGATGATTTGAAACCGCCTATCATACAGAGGCTTGTTGAGTTCAGCATATTTTCTTTCAAGATCATGAATCGCTTTTAGGAACATCGTGTCTACCTTGTCACATTCATCTTGAATGTTTCTAAGCGCCTGCACACGATTTCTAACAGCCTGAGGCAGCTTAATCACGAAATCTGTTCTCCACGGAGCCCGCCGCGCCCTTCTGGAAGGCTCAGGTACCCTCTTCTTTCTATATAAGCCGCCGCCGCTGCTAGTGCTGCTACTGCCGCTGCTGCTGCTGCTGCTACTGCTGCTGCTGCTGCTGCTACTGCTGCTAGTGCTGCTGCTAGAGCTACTGCTGTCAGATTCTTCCCCAGAATCACTAGCCGAGCTAGCCATCTCCTCTTCGGCAACACTCTGGGCGACAGGTTCCGAGACCTCTTTAAAATCTGCTTCTGCCATTTTGCAAGCCTGCAAAACTCTACCGCGAAGACCGCGCGCCCAGAGATGGGCAGAAAATGACTCACGGATGCTTGGGTGGCGGCGGCGGAGGCCCGGGCTGCGGAGGTGGCAGCGGCGATGGCAGTAGCGGCGCAGAGCGGAGCTGGAGCTGAGGATGCAGAGGCCGGCGCTGAGGTGGCAGCGGCAGTGGACGCCTGGGCGACAGCGGTAGCTGCAAGGCCTCTCCCGGCTGCAGCTACGGAGTGCCGAGGTGTGCCGCAGCCGAATGGCGCAGTATGAGACCCCGAGATCTCTTCTCGTTTTAGATCGCGGGCCCCCTCCCCTTGCAGTCAGACCTCCGGTTCATTTCATTCCCAGTGTACCTTTAGTTCGCTCCTCATTTGCTGGTCCACCTTAATTGACAAACCGTACGCCCAACGAACGGCCAAACGCCACTGCTCCTGGCTCCGCCCACCTTCCCCAGACGCTGCTCGCTGGCTGAGGTGCGACCCCCTGGATGGTGTCCCCGTACCCCCAAAAAAGTCTATATTTATAGTTTTATAATTCAAAAAACACCAAAAAAAAAAAAAAAACCGTAGACATGAGGTAAAAATGCCAGCCATAGTTCCTAACAAGGGCAGAAGAGGCGTGTCTTCCCTCTGCTATCCGCCCATCCCTATTTCCCGTTTAGTTTGTCACGGGTCTCCTGACAAAAAACCTGTTTAAAAAAAAAATTGAATGAAAATGGTCTAAATGGCGTCATTGGGTAGTGTGACTATGGACGATTTAAAAACAAAACGATTTTCTCTAAATATTCTATGAGCATGTATTTTTACACTGGTTAAAAAACGGGAGAGTCGGTTATTGGCAGAGGGGGGAGGGACTAGACAGCAGGCGTATTGCATTCCACGAAGCTGATTTAATAAGTGCTGTCTGTGATGTTTGGCAAGCCTGGTTTATATCCATCTACAAGGTTTGCGAACCCATGTTGCCGTGAGTCAGTTACACCATTTTTATTATATTTCTCTTTTTAGGCTGGCATATATTATACCCCAACCTTGCTGCTAACTTGCCACGTAGCCCTTCTCAATGCTTGCAACAACCTTGTAGATAAAACAAAGAGGTATTAAATGTTAGGTAGTATTGTTAAAAAGCAAATGATGTGCGTTATACTTTGTGCAGCAGGTTTCAATTCGAAGAACAGCGGGGTGGGAGGGGGAATTTGTACTAACGAATGTGCATCCTCTGTCAGTGTATGCGATGTCATCTGCCACCAATTTCCTTCTAATGTTGTAAAATTCTAACCATATTAAAGTATGATTTACAAGTCCAGTAATGTGTGAATAAACTTTTGCAAAATGAAGTTAAAAACGGCTATTTGTTATTTTTATTTACAGGATTTTTTTTTTCTGCTACAGAACAACTCCCTTGGTACAATAAAAAAAGACGAGTATTTACTTTTCATTGAAAGGTAAGGAACATATTTAGCACATTTTAAAGAATGACAAAAATTACTCATCTCCATCTGAATAAAAGTTTACAGGATACAGTCATTTAGAGATGTATTTTAGATAATTATCTTGATAATTCTATGGAAACAGGAAAATCCACAGAGGTGATTTGGCATCCTAATGCAGAAAATAACCCACTTAAACGCATTAACTATCTAAACCTGATCATAGAATACAAGTGGTAAATTAAAATATGAAATACGATAAATTATTCATTTCAAATGAAGAAATGTATTAAAGTTAGATTAATCTTTATAGAATTTGTGCTTTGTCATGTAGTCACGTTTTTTAAAAGTTAGGAAACGCTTTTCTGTTTCACAAATGCATTTACTTTTATTGTTTCTCTCTAATTGTCAAAGTCTTTGAACATTGCAAACATAAAACCTCAGTATAGAAAATTCCAGTGGTAGTGAAAACACACAATCTTAACCGCCAAATGATAAGGACTACTAGCATTTTCATACACTTTCTTCCATAATTTTCCTTGTGCATATACATACCTGCCTATTTAGGTATACTGCTTTATCTATGTGATACTGTATTATGTTTTGTAATCTGTTCATTTATCAATTACTAATGACTTTATTTTCACGGCAAATGATTGACATTTTTAAAGACATTCATATTCTATGGAAATGATTGCCTTAATTTATTTGACCAAATTCCTATTATAGGGTGGCTATTTCTATACTATCTCTCCCCTTAAATGCATACTATTTTCCTGTTATGATAAAAGTATCCCTGGATACCTAAAACATACATATCTATGTACTTGTGAAAATTGGTCATAAGATAAATTCCTGGAAATGGATGCTCTGGGGATAATCATTTCATATTATGAAATAATTATTGTATTCATGTTGCCAAACTCTCTGCAGAATGATTATCACAATTTACAATTCCAATAGTGCATAAAGTTTCTTTTTTTGTCATTCAACAAATACAGTTTTATGTCTGTCATATGCCCTACAAATGTGGTAAAGGACCGTAGTATAATGGTGAATGAAACTTACTAAGTGCATATTTTTTCGTTGAATAATTTTAATCAAAACAAATGTTATAGAAACAATGATTTACATCGATGGGGTTATACTATAAATTTTGTTTTGCAACTTACTTTTTTTATTTTAAATTATGGAGATTTTTAAAAAAGTATGGTCTTATGTTTTAAATTTTGTAGCATCAGGAATTAGTATTTTAGGGTCAGTCATGAGTTAGGAATCCAGATTGTTAAAATATTTATTTTTATTAGCTAGCTGATTTTTCTAGTACCATTTATTTGGTAATCTTTCTATCTCATGCTTGCTTGAAATGCTACTTTGATCACATTAAAGAAATTGCTTGTGTCTGTTTCTAAATTCTTTTCTGATTCATTGGTCAGACTTTTTCGGCAAACAACTAATGAGTCGGTTTTAAGATAATTTTACCTTCTGTGAAAATGGTATGTGTTCATTGATAAAGTCAGACAGTACATTGAAATACAAAGAATAAATTAAAAGTTACTCAAAATACCACAGAGAAGTAATCACTACTTACATTTGTAATCAACATCTCCAAATTAATTTACAATGTTATATATTTGTATTTCTTAGATTAGTGGTAAGATTGTCTTTTCATATGTTTATTGTTTATTTGAGAAATGTCTATTCATATTTTTATTTGTTTTCCACTGAATTAAGCAAAAAATTAATCAGTGGTGAAATAATTTTACCTTTAGTAAAATGATTTTGGCCTTGACTTACTTAAGGCAACTATGATTTCTTCAGGAAATTACTCATGATACTGGGCAAATGTGACTAAATTACTTTCAATTATTTTCATATTCAAACTGGTGTTCATTTTGTTTTGTTTTGTTTTGTTTTTAATGGATGCTTGGGAGGTTTTTTGGATGCTTTTCAAGGATTACAGATTACTACTTAACCACTCAAACTGATTCTGGAAAAGTTTGGAATAGAACATGGGGAAGAAAAATAGAAAAAAACTTACAAAAACATCACACAAAAATAACCTATTAATCAACAATTGTGATTTTCAATTTGGAACTATTTTTTCCATAGATGTAGACAATGAAAATGGTTGAAAGTAGATGACTTTTTCTAATCACAATACTCTACTTTCATTATGTATACATAAGTATCTTTTAACGTTCTTTTATTTTTGTGGGTTTTTTGGATCAATTTGTTTATTTAATGTCATGTAGTAGGTACCTAAATGAAAATAATATCCTATTTGTTCTACTGTGAGATATAAGTATTAGTTATATCATATACTTGTTTTTCTTAGTAAGGTTAAATACAAATTATTTGCATAGTGATATATTCTTTGTTCAATTCATAGATGATATTTTTTGGGAGGAGGGCTAAATGTTCCTGTTTCTACCTGAGATGATACATAACACAGAACCTGATAGTATGCTCAGACTGAACATAGTACATTAATATCTGTTGTTACCTCCCTTAATATGAACATGCACACAATCCCTTCCACCACCCACTCCTGCCACACAAACACACAGAGTATGTAATGACAAGTATAGCAGCATATCTTTTGTTGTACATATCAAAAAGCAAAGCGTTGCAAGTTATTTTATTTTTGAATGCCTCTTTCTCCTATTATTCTTGGACAAGTTTTAGCTGAATACGCAAGTTAATTCCTTTTTAAAAACCATGTTATTGATGTATAATAGACACACAATAATGGCATGTAAAGTATACAGTTTTGTAGGTTTTGATAAATGTGTGAATCAGTGAAAGTATCACTACAGAAAAAATAATGAGAATAGTACCATCCCCAACAGTTTCCTTATATATCTTTGAATCTGTCCTCTTGTCCCTAGACAATCGCTGGTCTGTTTTCTGTTCCTATAGATTAATTTGCATTTTCTAAAATTTTATAGGTGGAATAATGTAGTATGTCCCTCTTTTTTTGCCTGTTTTTCACTACCAGAATTATTTTTGAAATTCACCCATGTTGTTGTGTGTATCAGGAGTTTATTTTTCCTTCTTACTGCTGAGTAATTATTCATTACTTGGCAATATTACACTTTTTAATGGGCATTTTTGTTGTTTTGAGTTCTGGGCTACTACAAATAAGGCTGCTATGATCATTTGTATACAAGTTTTCTATGGACATATGCTTTAATTTCTTTTAGAAAAATACATAGGAATGGAATGACTGGATCATATGGTATGTGTATGTTTCACTTTTTAAGGAATTACCTATTATCCAAAGTGGTTGTTTTGCATTTCCATCAACAGTGCCAACACTTGATATGGACAGTGTTATAAAAGTTAGCCATTGTAATATATATTCAGTAGTATTTCATTGTGATTTTAATTTATATTTCTTTGATGACTAATGATGTTGAACACTTTTTCATGTGCTGATTTGCCATCCACACAGCTTCTTTTGTGAAGTGACCATTTGTATTTTGTCCATTAAAAAATTGGGATTGTGGTTTTACTATTAAGTTTTGAGAGTTCTTTATATACTCTGGATGCAAGTTCTTTATCAGTTATGGCATCTGCAAATATTTTCTCCCAGACTGTCTATTTTCTTTGCATTCTCTTAAGGTTGCCTTTCACTGTTTAAAGAGAAAACATTTGTAGTTTTTGTATTGATACATCATACATCATATTTTGAGGGCACATGTGATTTTGATACATGCATGCAATGTGTAATGGTCAACTCAGGGTAATTGGGATAAGACGTTTGCAATTTTCGAAGTCCAATTTATCTTGTTTTTCTTCTATGGAGCATACTTTGAATGTCATCTCTTAGAAATCTTTGCTTAACCCAAGGTCACAATTATTTTCTTCCTTTTTTTTTTTAAGTTTTATACTTTTAAGTTTCACATTTAGGTCTGATACATTTTTGCAAAAAGTAC